GAGCATTTTTTTTGAGACTGGAGACTGAAGTTAAGGAAGGCCTGCCACTGTGGGATGACTGGATCCTATGGAGCCAGGCAACGAAGTTGATGAAACATCTACCGGGCAGGCGATACAGCCTGCACAAATGCAGGGATCCATGTGTGGTGGTGGTCGTGGCAGGAGTGCGAGTGGGGTGCAAGTGGGGTGGGATTGCAAGTGGTTCAGAAAGGAGAGAGGCAGGGATCGTGGGGAGATGGAGAGAGACAAGGTAAACAGGAAGGCCGAGTTCAGATCTCAAAGGTAGTTTTATAAAAGGATGAGGGCTAAATTTTATCCTCAAGGTCATGGGAGTCTTTGAAGGGTCTTATGCAGGGTCATGGCTACAGAGTGAAAGGTACATTAAAGACAGGGACAGGACTTGAGCTAGCCCACAAGTTCAGGTAACTTTGCTTGAATTAGAAAGGGGGTGTCCTCTAAAGGCACCCAGCTCTGTCAGGGTAAAAGGCTTAAGGGGTCAGGGTGGATTGGATTTCTGCCTCCATTCATCCCACTCAGCCACGTGCCTTTGTGCAACATGCAAACTCCACGGCTGTAAGGCAGCACTCCAAAACAGAATAGTTTAAGAGCTTTTGCCAGAACAGTGGAAGAGGTCATAAAAGAAAGCTGTGGATATCAAAGGGGTTTCAAAGAGACAAATATGGTCTTGGTCATGAGTTGAGATAGACAGAATCATGGATATGGATGGTCCCAGGCATTGAGCTTGACTGGCTGGGCAATGGTTCCCAGAAGGAGGAACAGTTTTGGAGAAAAGCAGATAAACTGTTTTGGACATACTGACTTTGTACTTCCATGGGACTTGTAGGTGGAAATATTCAATATACTGTGAAATATATGGTCTGAAGCATGGTCTAGACATGTTCCTAGTACTGCACATTTGTAAATCACCAATATGCAAGAGAGCTAAAGCTGTGGGAGTTAAGGTCACCCAGGATAATGGTAGAGCAGAAAAGATTTTTCCAGTATTTAATTTCAATTTTATTGCTTTATTGACAGTGTCTGCAATGAATCATGGATTGAACAAGTGGCCAACTCTACCTCCTTCTTTTATTCTTTTCTTTTTACTGCTGTCCAGAGCAGCAGTTCTTGGCATTTGAAAACCTGATCTTAACCTCCCTTACAGAGGAACAATTGATTTTCCAGTCAATGCCTGTTTAAACATTAGCTGTGAGGATGCAGGAAGCCAAATATTCACAGAGTTTCTAAGAATGTACCTTTGTCTCTTTAAATCTGATCTGTAATTGTGTTAAAGTGAACCTGATAACTTGGGCATTAGGCATCGTAGGAGCTGCTATGTTGCTCTGGCTAAATGTTTGCTACTGCAAAAAAAGAAACTGAAGTAGCTAATTGGATAAAAGAAGCTAAGCATGACCATGAATTGCAGAATATCCAGGCAAAAGGGTGTTTTAGTAACAACTGCGCTTTTCTATCACCACCCAATTAGAATAAATGCAAGAGGGCAGCTGAGTTTGGTAAGGAAACATTGTTTGGCCTGGCAGCTTGATTGTGATGCTGCCTCTGGTGTCCAAGTACTAATGCAGAACTCTGTGAAGCAGAACCACATTCCAGGAGCTATTAAGTAAGGGGTCTGGAAATGCCCACCTCCAAGGACAGTAAAGCCCTTGTTCTAATAATGTAGGTATAATAATAGTTTTTATAAACCCTTAACTATCTTTAATTTATTTAAAAAATATTTTTATGAAAATGGAGACGGGTTGTGCTCTGTTGGCCGGGCTGGTCTCGAACTCCTGGCCTCAAGCGATCCTCCCATCTCAGCCTCCCAAAGTCCTAGAACTACAGACATGAGCCACTGTACCCAGCCCATTTATTTATTTATTTATTTATTTATTATTTATTCAGTCTGCAAGTCTTTACTGAATGCATTTTAGGTGGCAGGTACCCCCTCGTTAAAAACCCCATGTCCACCTTCACATCTTTAATTATGCTGGCCACAGATTTGCCTTCATGATTGTCTCTCATAACCCCCAATGGAAATGCCTATTGAATATACTCCAAGACTACCATTTTACTTGTCTTACGGTAAAGTAAAGACTCCCATTACTTGTCTATAATCTTAAGTAACAAGATAATTTCTTTTGAAAAGTAATGGCTTTCCAGGTATTTTTCTAATACAAGGGAAGATTACCATTGGTTCACATGTAATAACCCCACCTTTAAGAGGAAAATAAGGCCAAGGCTCATTTCTAGATAGCTGGTGGGAATCAGCCTTCTATCCAATGCATATCCAGAGGAGGGATTTCTGACTTCACTCAATGGGGACAGTCGAGGCAAATGTAATTCCAGCCATGCTGTGACTATCCATCCTTGTTGATACGGTTATTATGTTGATTCAGTTCAAACACACTAGGAAGAAAGAGCGACCTCAGAATCACATCATTGCCATGGAAGAGAAATGATCCAGCCCTGAGAATTGAAGTGGCCTGTATCTTTGCCTGCTAATACACAGGAATGCTGTCTAAAAGTATGCAGTGTGCCACATATTCATAGACTAATAGAACATTTGTGTCCATTAGAAAACAGTTCTCCCCAAATGCCATCTCTTTTAGCGTGGGCAAGCATCCTTCAGGTTAACTACATGATCTAAAAGCTGAGCAAGGGGAGGAAACGTGAAAGCTCAAGATGAGACACGGCAAATGTACATTTACCAGGAATCAATACAAAGCAACTATACAAATGGCTACTTGCCTAAGGAGAAATGATTTAGTTGTACAAGTTTAGCTTTAGAAAATGTTCAGAAAAGCATTTATTACATAAATGACCTAATATGTAGCATAATTATTTGATCTGCGTAAACATTAGATCCATTCTTTGTACTTATACTCTACAGTTTTTATCCAGGAATGTGCTTGTAATTTTGCTAAGCGGTAGACTCCTGAGATGTTCAGATTCTAATTTCTTCTCCATAAGGAGGTAAAGCCATGAAGAGAGATATCTTTAGCTACTCAAGTGTTTCTTCCTCACGGGACACGTTTGTCACTCTAGAATAAGTCAGCGGAGGGTTTCACACATTAATAGCTCTAGGGCAGATAGTAGCCCTAGGAAGAGACTTCAATAAAACAAAAGTAAGGAATAAAGACTGATTATATGAAGAAAGTGGATGTCAGTGACAAGGTAGGGATGTGGAGGGATCTTGAAAAAGGAAAAACAGTGGGACAGGCTTCAAGCGGTGACTCCCCCAGATTTTTTCAGTTCAGTGTTGAGTCCGTTTATCAGCAGGCATCATCTATTGCCTGTCTTCTCCTTCACAGCTCTCTACCAAGCACTGATTCTGAACTCTCAGACACCAAATAATTAAGACCCAGATGACTACACCCCAGGTTATATGTCTGGCTGATAGATGCGTAGATTCTTCCTGGTCTGTAGGCAGAAGGTGGCTTTCTAATCTAGGTAATGAGTTGAATTTGTAGGATTCATACAATTAACTGGTCTTATTTTAAATAATTTCTTTTAGGACTGACAACGATATTTTCTTATAGAAGAAATTCCCTCTCAGATGGGCCCTCCCGCTTTCTCTGTCATGGAATCAGAGCAATTTGGCTGTTAAAACAGAAGTTACTTCATGATTAAAATGTTTTTCTTTTTGACTCCTTTTGACAAATCTGGATTCGTTCTTTATAAAAGTCTATTTGAGCTCTCTCATATCTTTCTTTGACCTCATTCATCTGGTGCTGATAAAGCTAATGTTTTCCTTTTGTCTTGACCTTGAAAGAAACCGAAATATTCCTCTCAAAAATGCTGGGGATTGTTGAGTTTAAAAAAGGTTAAAACAAGGGACATACTCTGCCCCTTTCTCTGCCTTTCCCATCTAAAGACAGTCCAACACTTGCTTATCTGCGCAGAAACAGTGGTGCCAGAGAATCTAGAAGCAGACTTCACCCTTCCCATGTATTTACCTTCCCGCATTTTCCTGCCTTTTAGAAGCCCGAAAATGCTATCTTCTTTGTCTTGTCCCTAATAGGATTTCTGGCTCTTTGGTGAAATACTATTTAAGCGTGACCCCTAAGCCACTGCCTTGAGGGAGAACTACTTTTAAACCAAGGCCTCTCCCATGTGATGTGTATAACATGCATTAATAAATTTCTGCTTGTTTTTCTTTTGTTAATCTTACTTGTTTACAGAAGAGTATCTCAACTAAGAATTTGGAAAGGGAGAGAAAAGAAATTGTTTTCTCTCCTACAGCCTGCTAGTTCAGGATGCAATCAATCTATGGTGTCTTTGGTCTTATAGCACACATTCAATATTTTAAATTTGAAATGGTTTAAACAGTCTTTCTGAAGGTCTCTTTAGAGTTTCTTATTACAGAGCTATCTAGAGGTAGGAAAAAGGCCTTAAAGGTCCCTTGTGACTAAATTCAATCCTTAGGTTTTCTCATTTTAAGCAAGGCTTTCGTAACTTTCTTGACTGAGATAAATGTGCTCATTTCAGCACAGTGAACAGCTTTATACATGATCACACCTAGTATTAAGAAGACGATCTGAAAATTTTCATTCATTTTCATTCATTCACCTGACAGTCACTAAGGAAATCAAAAGACCAGGCTCTAAGTGGTCAGCATACAGTGATGAGTAAGACAGCCTCTGCCCTTTTAGGGGAGACAAAAATGTAAACTAATAATTGCTGTCAGTGTGAAAAGTACAATAATGAGAGTATGTATCAGATCCAACAGTGGGCCCCAGGACAGGGTGAAAAACCCAGTCTGAGGAATCAGAAGAGACTTGACTGAGCCTTCCCAAGCAGAATTACTTCCTATTGTTCCTTGATTTTTATGGCATCCAGTTGATAAATGTGCAATAGGGGAGAATCGTTCTTCCAGCAATCTCTCAAGTACCAAAATATAGCACCCCATTCTGGAAAGTAGGACAGCTTGTAATCACTCCTCCAGTCATATCTTGCTGCAACTAAAGAGGAAGAAACGCTTATTGCAAATGTGCGTTTTGTACCTTTGCTGAAGAACAGATGTGACCTGTTTGCAGAAATTCTCTCCATTTTGAGAAAACTCCTTTAGGTTCTTGTATACTTTATTATACTGAAAAAGAAGAACAACAATAACAAAAAGTGAACAGAAAGATTATGAGCAACTCCAAAGATAGAGCACCTATAAATTCAGAACGCTACTCTAACCATGACTGTCATTATAAATGATCGTGCAGCTACAGGCATGCACACCTTTTGGATGGGTTCTGAAAATAAAGATGAAGTCCCTTCTGCCTGGATATGAAAGACCCTGGAGAACTTTTCAGAAATAAAGCTGATCTGTTTCTCCCCTCGGCCTCATGCAAACAATTCGGCAGTGGGGTGCATTTGGAGTATGGTATCCTGTCACCCTTATTGTTCCCAGGAAGGACAAAAATATCTTCTGAAGGATGCCACATACCTATTTTGTCCCCTCCCATCCACACAAACTTCAAAATAATATTTCTGGGGCTCATGACAAATCATGAGCCATTAGAGCAAACCTTTCTGTCTGCAATATAAAAGTGCAAGGAAATAATCTGGTAAGGAAACTTTATCCTAGTCCTCTCTGTGTCTTATTTAATTCCAGTAAGAAAAATGTTATAATGATGAGCTGAACATATTGGTTAAACCAAACCTTTATAAATGTATTAATTACCCTTTATAAATTCATGTATATTTGAATTTAGCCTGCAGACACAAGAATTTCCAGTAAAAGTTTTTGTCATTTGATTTAGGACTCTACAATGTCTTCCTGGAAACTGTAAATGTAGACATTGATGACAATAGATTTTGAATGCCCAGAGAAACTAAATGTCAATTGATTCTGCAGCTTTTTCTGACACAGAGCAAGTGAATTAGATGATGGAACATCCCAGACACACTCTCTCATAGTTTCCATCTGGGAGGTGTAAGAGCAGATTGCATTTTTCAAAATGTGATTTTACATAAAAGGACCCAAATTCAGTATGGATTGAGGGCTGTGCTGTACTTTGCTCATACAATGAGCCAGCCTCTTCCAGTGTTCAGACATCACTGGCATTCAGCTGGACACCATATTGAGAAGGGAAAAAGGAAGGAAATTCACATTTACTGAGTGCCTTCTACTGTAGCAGGCACATTCACAAACACACATCCCCTCAGGGCCCAGAAGGCCATTAAGTCAATAAAGTATTTGGTACGTGGTGCTGCAGAGTATCAAACTAAGGACATAGGGCGACAGAGGAGGAAGGACCTAAAGAAATGAGCTGATTCAGTTCCCTACCTTTGGGGATGGAACAAACCAACACCTAGGATATAGAAACAGTCTTACCATATCCTTTTACCTTTATGCAGTAGTTTAACATTCCTGTGAATTTAACGCAGTAAGCTATGACAGGATTTCGTAGAAATCTATTAATAGTAACAGTAACAAACCACTTCCTTGAAACTGCCTTGGACACAAGGAAAGTGGTGAGGGTGCAAAGCTTTCATGAGTAAATTGTTAATTTCTAAAGCAGAGTTTGCAAAATCCTGTGACTGCTGGCACCAGTCAGGCACGTGAATGAGTGAGGAGCAGGGTGGGCACCGTGAGCTGGAGAGGCAGCTACTCGAACCATTCTGGCCCATCACTGCCACCTGGAATGTGGCTCAAGAAAGCCAGATCTCCCACTTTGTCCAAAAAAGTTGAAATCAGGATTTGTGTTCGAAACATGACTTTTTTTTTTATTGTAATAAACAATTCACAAACTCTCTGTAGCGTAATCAAAACACACTTGTAGTGAGGTTCCAATTTGTAGCCTTTCTCATGAAGGAGAAATAATCTTCCTCTGAGTCATGAAAGTAAAATCGCTATTTGGCAATCAAGCTTTCTAATTTTTATTTCCAAAAAAACAACTGGCCATATGTGAATGGTGTGATCCTATTAAGGCCTCCTTCTTCCCCTTACAGGTACACTGGCAAAGTTTAGGGGAACATTCTGACATTGTGAGAAGTCCTGCAGTAAAGAAACGTGCTTAGCTTCTTTGTTTACTCCTATGTTACCTAAACATTTTTACTAGTTTTCTCCCTAAGCCTTTTATTTTCTTCTATAACACCTAATAGCATCCCATGAAACATACCTCCGTGTCATGAGAAGAAAATGCATAAATGTTTAGCAGGGTGCATGCTCCTGGAATAAGGTCATTTCTCAGCCTCTCTCAGCCTTAGGTGTATAATCATGTGACTAAAAGCTATCCAAGGAGATGTGAGGGAACGTTTTGTATGAGGTTTCAGTAAAGGCTTCTTTGCCCTCTTTTCTGCCTCTAGACTTGAAAATGAAGGCCAAAGCCATAAAGTGGTATTGAGATTGGACATAATGCATTAAGATCATAGAGTGGAAAGAGAAAAAGAGCCTGGGTCCCTGATGGTTGTGAAGGACACCATGTGAGCCTTCAGCTCTCTGCTTTTAGACTTATTTTATGTGTGAGAGAAATACAATACCATTTTTTTTAAAGACATACACATTTGGGGTTTTTCTAATATTAAGTTGAACATAGTTCTAACTCATACAGGATCTTTTTGCTTTGAATTATGAAACATTTTTATGGTTCATAGCATAATGATGATACAGAAGATAATAAAATACATTATGTTCTCAGTACCTAAGTCATAGAGATAGTAACACTTTGCTTCTGCTCTCTCTTTAAACAACTATTTTTTTTCCTTTTCATTAATTTGGCTATTCTGAGGCATTTATTCTAACATAAGAACATTTGTCTAATTACATTTCTTTTTAAATCCCCGTTGGGTTCCTAATTGAAATTGTATTACATACATATTTCAATTTGGGAAAATTGACTTTTTAATGGTGTTTAGACTTCCTATCCAAGGACATAGTAAGTTTTTGCATTTGTTCAAATTTTATTTTATGTTAAATAAAATTTTATGTTTTCCTTTATAGGTCCTGTGGCTTTCTTATTTGATTTATTTAGAAATATCTCACAGTATTAAGCTATGGATTTTTATGTATTGTCTTATCGACTTCTCTCTCCAGCCCACAGCAAAGCAGAAATAAAGACTCAACAAAAACCCATGGGACTGTGTGCAAGAGAGAAAGATCTAGATGCATCTGAACCAGGTCACCAACCTGAGGAGCAGCCTGGTGCTGCAAGAGAGATCTAGATGCATGCTTGCAGAGTAAATTCTTCTGCTCTCAAACACTATAAAGCTGGGGCTGAGGATGGGAGAAAAAGCAGAGAAATGGATTCGAGGGACGTAGGGGCATTTAGAGTGGGAAGAAGAAAAAGAACCTCCCATTAAGAGAAGCAGCAGTGTAAGGAAGGGAATCTGAGATAAAGTGTCCTAAGGGAAAGGTCCTTACCAGTCCACCATCACCAGAGGATAGGCTGCATATAGAAGTTACCTATGGGAGAGAATAAGGGACCTTGGACATCAAGTGTGGGATGGGGCATGTAGAGAAAACTCTGCCTGTAACCAAAGTAGAAATGAGAACAGCTGAGAATTTTTCTATGTGTTTGTGTTACAGGGATGCTGCATTTCCTAAACTTCCCAAGTCATCAAAAGTCTCTAAGACACATTTTTAAATACTGTCTCAAGGGAACTAGTTTTAGGAGGCTAGGTCATGCTGAAAGGTTATAAGCCAGTGATTGAAAACTCAGTTGCCTTCAGTGGCAGTGGTGAAGCCTGTGGCAAAGGCATTCATATTCAACCTTGCAAAGTAAGGGGCTGCTGGAACAAAGCACGGTCTATGGCTTCCATTGACCCTTGGGCTGCCAGCTCTAGATTTTGGAAGATGATTTTCTGTCACTGCATAGACTGGTACTTTAACTTTTTCCCCAAAATGGTACACATAGAACATATTTGTACTAGAAGAGTGTGGTAGATAGACAAAGTCGTTCCAGGAAGAGGGAACTGGCCCATGGCTTTGCCTCCTACCTCGCTCCCAGCCACTCTGCCAATTCAAGGATGCAAAGGACTTGTGTCTCAGGCATACCTGTAACCCACACTCAAACCTCAAACTCCGGTATGCCCAGGCACACGCAAGTTGAGAAAGTCTTCAGTACTTGATGTTGTTAATTTAGCGATCAGATAAGAGAGAGATGTGCTTCTGACGGCAGCAGCATCTTTACCTTTGATCCTATATGCTATGAATTCCCCAACAAACCCTGATCCAGACTGAGACAAAAGTGACATCAATAAATAAAAGAGTTGCTAAGAATATTTTCATTATCTCAGCATAAACCCTTATTTAGAATCAGTGATTCTGTACCTTTCATCATGTACTCAGACTTGGAGACAAAAACTGTGAAAAGCAGACCCACTTAAATGCCAAAGCAGACCTCCAGAGGCCTTCTAGTTCATTCTCTCTCTCTCTCTCTCTCTCTCTCTCTCTCTGTCTGTGTGTGTGTATGATCAGGAAACCTTGGAACATACCTGCTTTGAGGGGGTAAAATCACTTGACTTTAGCTTTGGTTGTCTCACTCCTACCTCACCACGCTCCCACCCACCAGAGAGGACTCTGAAGGGGTTCCATGGGGTACAGTTTGGAAATCACTGAAGTCTAATTCCCTTATTTACAGTTAAGGCCCAAAGAGCTAAGGATAACCTAATTCGTTAGAGACAGAGCTGCGATGAGAAATGTTAGGTATGAAAATCAATTAAAGAATCCATCAGAAACAAATATATTTAAAAATGGGTAATTTGTATTATCACACTAAGTTTACTCCAAGTTATAGTAACCTTTAAGTATTATGTGCAATACAGTTGGCTTCTTAATGTCATCAACCAGCACAAGAAGAAGGGCTTGCTGTGGTTGCAGTCAGGTGGAAGGCAATTTTGGTGTTCTTTTCCCACCCATTAAGCTTTTAACTATCCTAACCTCCTACCAAATATTCATTCCGGAGAACAATCTATGATTGATTTTACAACTCCATATGAATTTATATTAATATGCTGCTTCTCCTGGGGATCATTAATTATTAAGGAAAAAAAAGTTATGAGGTTTTTCTTCCCTGATAAAGGGATTTCAGTCTGGTAGTGGAATATTGGGGATCTTCCTGAGCTCCTAAAAAAATAATTTAACCCTTCACAAATAGGCACCTGGTCTACACAGACATTTCCCATTCAGCCATTAAGGAAATGTTTCTTCCCAGCACAAGCAAATTCTGTTGACACATATAGCCATTACAAAAAATATTTAGTAATCCAGACAATCGGCATATGAAATGGTTAGACGAATGACTTGTAGAGATTATAAAGTGCCTGTATCAAGCTTGGCCTACCTGCTCTTTCTGCTTGAGTGATTAAGAGTGTTAAATTTAGTTCTAGAAAAAAAAATTATAGAAAAAATGATTTTTATTGATGCTAGCATGGAAGATTTTTTTTGAATAGTGATGATCCTCACGGTGTTAAAGAAACCAAGATATTCCACTTAAATTTAACACAATGAACTTTACTGGATGCCTTTACTATGCCAGGCACTGTGCTACTGATTTCCTGTGAGCTCTGATTCACTGGGGGTGATGGTTTACAGCACGGCCACTCTATAAAGGGATTCCATGCATTTGCTCACCATCTGTGTCGTATTTAGAATCCCTATGGCAGACTGTCATAGATTATGGGATATGGAACATCAAAGAGCATGGTCTATTCCTTTTACTTTACAGACCAGGAAACAGAGGCCCAAGAAATGTGGAATGGCATGTTACACATCTCTTTGATGCAAACTCGGGATGCTGTGGGCCACATGACACCCATGCCAGACTCAGCCTCCTTCTCTATCATTACAGTGAGACAGAACCTCCCAGGAACTAGGGACCATGGCACCGTCACCATCTGAGTTAGTGACAGTCATCGTCTGGTGTTCAGACTAAGCCATTAAGATGGGAAGCTCAGGTTGGTATCTGAACCAGGTTACCAACCTGAGAAGCAGCCTGGTGCTGTTTCAATGACATGAGGGAAGGGGCTGACTGTTTGGAGCCTAGAAGACTTGCTTTGACAGGCCCCTTCCTGGATACTGTATGAGTGTGTAAAAAGCAAAGATTTGGCTACTGCTTGTTACTTGTCCTTGATTTCTATGTGATTGTTTGATAGGAAGGTGCTATCAGTACTTTCTTAAGATCGGATTATTTCCTTTGGAGATAACTGGATCCTACTTCCTTGCCTTTCTTGCACATGGATTTAAAGATGATTTCCCTTGACATATTTTTAGGTTTAAGAGCTAAGTTTGGCCGGGCACAGTGGCTCACACCTATAATCCCAGCAATTTGGGAGGCCAAGGCAGGTGGATCACCTGAGGTCGGGAGTTCGAGACCAGCCTGACCAACATGAAGAAACCCCATCTCTACTAAAAAAAAATTACAAAATTAGACAGGCTGCTTGGGAGGCTGAGGCGGGAGGATCACTTGAATCCAGGAGGTGGTGGTTATGGTGAGCCAAGATTGCACTCCAGCCTGGGTAACAAGAGAGAAACTCAGTCTCAAAAAAAAAAAAAAGAGCAAAGCTTACAAGCAATGAAGCCTCAAGGCCCAAAGCCAATTCTTTTCCTTTTCAAAAACAGAACTTTAAAGATATCCTCTTCAAATAAGTTCTGACACTCTCAAGATTAGTCTTACACAGCATTTAAGCAATCTTCATGCCACCCTGGTGGCAATCATTTGAACTCAAACACTGACCTGGTTCTTTGAGGTTGAAGGGCCCAGCTCCTAGCGTTTTTTTTTTTTTTTTTTTTTTTTTTTTGCCCATTAGAGCATGATCTCAAAGAGATTTTTCAATTTTTTCGTACCATAAGCCCTTTTAGTAGTCTCATGAAACCTATTTCATTCAATAATATTTTTAAGTAACACAGGGTTACAAAAGAAATGAATTATATATTTTTAGAGTGTATTTTTTAAATTGTGATATTATCTGCTTCTTTATTAACATGCTAAATTATATATCTTAAGTATTACCAACATTTTGAAGTCAGGGTGAATGTAAATATTTCTAGATATGTGCAACAACTGTAATATAAAATTCCTGATTTTCATTGGCTACAAAGTCACGGATACTACATAGCTATTACTAGTAGTATTGGGGCTTGTTGCCTATATTCTCGATTCAATAAAATTCTAAATTTCAGTGAGAAATTAGTACAAATAGAGATTTTTTTTCACTGAAGTTCATGTAACTCACTGAGTTCCGTACATGGGTAGGTTGGTGTGGGCCCAGTTAAGAACTGCAGCTACGCTAAGACTTTATGAATTGTGCTCTGTGCAACTCTAGGGTCTCATGGAAAGGAACGTTTTGCAGGTGGTTAAAGCTTCAGGTTCTTTTATAAAACTACCTAAGTGTTTCACGAGGCACTCATTTGCAATCCATTTCCTTGTCTTATTTTGTTCCCAAACTGCAGATTCATCTTCACGTAGCATTGTTCCCCAAGTACAAGCTAAGAATGTACCAGGAAGTCAACTTGAACACTTGATTAAGATGAAACAATTTCAAATAAATAAATGTTCTCTGACTTTAGAGGGTTTGGAAACCCAGGCTGAAGGGATATCCGCCTCTCCATGACTCCCGGATACTTTCAGTGGCAATGAGCCAATAGAGATGACCTTCAGAGTTTTAGACAAGGATGGGAGCCCTTGGCCCAGTATAGCACAAAGAACTATTCAGCATGCCAGGGAGTGGAGCTTTAAACGGACACAGAACTGTGGTTATGGGTTGCCTTGGGGGCTGCTGAAAGAAAACATTTCTCCAGAGCTAAAGACTGAGTTTGCTGCCTACACAAAGGGTGTTAAGCCTTCAGTTTCTTTTTTATGTATTTATTTCTGCTTTTCGTTTTAAATGTAATTAAACCTTCTCTCTGTTTCCCTCTCTTCTGTCCATTGCACTCTTCCCCAGTGTTCATTTTCTTCTTTGGTTACTGTCAGTGCCAAGATTTTGCTGCCACTTATCCCATCCCTGTCCTGCCCTGCCACCGTATACAACAACATTGAGGTAGCAGTGTTGAGACAGGAGAGGATTTAACAGTTTAGTAAGGGAGTAACCTCAAGGAGAGACAAATAAATGATAAAAGACTTGTTAAAAATTATTCATAAAAAAGACTTGTTAAAAATTATTCATAATTACCAATGGAGAGAAGACTGAGATTGAAGTAATTAAGGGAGGAAGTTTCACTCTTAAAAATCTATATATAACCATATTATTGGAATTCGTTTCTATGTAAGCACTAATTTTTTTTGTATTTATAAAAAGTAAAATTAGGCAGAATTGGCTACTATGTAGTCATTATTAAAATTACTCATCATTTATGAGTTCTTCTTATTTAGCTCATCTGATTTTCTGCAATAGTAGCTACAGTTCCATCTTTTCCAAGCATGTGTTTTTCTTATCCATTGAATAAACAGAAAGGAAGTCAATAATCCTCTGCTGATCTTTTTCTTTATGGCTTTATCTCAGCGCCCATTTACCCACCGCCCCATAGTTTGTGTTATTAATACATGAAACATGACTGCAACCCCTTGCTTATGTTGTCACCAATGTCACCAATCTTAGCTTTTCAGCTCCATGTGTTGGGAAAGGACACTGGCCCTCCTTGATTACTTTATTTTCAAAGTCAACATATCCCCCCTTTATTCTAGCTGCTTCTTATTTCCTAACTTACATCTCTGCTATTGCCGTCAGTGACCTCACAATGTCTTTGGACTTTGGACCAAACTTAATTTTTGGTAACGCTCCCAGGACTGGAACAAACATGCTGCTAAACCAGTCTGAGAACCACTGCAGACCAGGCAGAGCGAGGAGTCTCTCCTTCCTCCTGCAGGACTTGCAATCCTTGACTCAAAAAAATGAGGGTGAAAAGGCACAAAAACTCTCCTCTCTGACTTTATTCTCAGAGCCAAAAATTGGCTGCAGACATTCTGTGTGTTTTTGTATCCACTCCACACACGATGTTGGCACCATGGGTGTATGTCTTAAAAATGTTTTCCAAACAGCCACCATCTGGATCCAAATATGATGCTTTACTCACTCAAAACTTTTTCCAAGAACATGAGAAGGAAAGATGACAGTTACTTGCCCTGTCATTTCCTAGAAAAAGCTCTGTTTTAAACTGAACCAAAGAAAAAACCACAAACTTTTGTACCACAGCCAATGTCTCAATATGTTTGGTTTCTGAGTGTCTCAAATTTATTAAGTTAAAATCCATTAATACACAAATCTACCCTCCACCCTCCCTCTCACACGCAGGTACACAAACCACACTGGGCTACTCACCGGGCAATCTGTCAGTGGGTCCCTCATGTTGAAATGTGTCTGGCTTTTGTCCTTTTACCTCCGCTCCAGCATTCTGGACACTGTAATCAAGGTTGGGTGTGTTCTGGACTTCCGGGATTCAAAGGGCCTAGCGTACGTCAGTCCTTGTCAAACACACAAGGGAGGAAGTCCCAGCCCTGGACTTTCATCCCGTTTGTTTCCCGAGAAAGTAAAGAACTGCTCTGGGTCAAGAGAACCAGGGCGAGATAGTGAGAAAGACTTCTGTAAACACTCAGAGGGCAGGATCCTCAGTCATGAACAGCGTAACATTGAGAGAAGGCACAGAAGCTGCAACATGTCTCCAGTAATTCTGGCGCTCGGTCTGATAGTACAGGAACATAAATCCTCTCAGCTTGCAGTAGTAATCAAGCTTTTTATTATCTGTATGGCATGATGCTTTGACATTTTAGGACCTCATGGACTTGGAGAGAGACTGCCTCTCTGAGGGTTAACTAATTCCTAGAGAGAGCAAACAACTGGCCTGTGAGCATGCCTTTAACATGCAAACCAACAAACCCAGAGCCCAAACCTCCCACTACCTCCTTTATCTGGCTCTCACATACCAAGCCCATATTCCCCCATGCCCTAAATCCCACAGGGCCAGATACCAAACAACTAGGGACCTACACCTATAGAACTGTAACTATAAAATGTTCAGAAACAGCGTCAGGAGCAAGATGTACATTAACCACTTCTCGGAGCCTAACTCCCCACTCCCTTCAGCCCCAAGAGGATCAAGAAGCTAAGCTTTCAATGTAAAGAAAACATTGCCGCCGGGCGCGGTGGCTCAAGCCTGTAATCCCAGCACTTTGGGAGGCCGAGGCGGGTGGATCACGAGGTCAAGAGATCAAGACCATCCTGGTCAACATGGTGAAACCCCGTCTCTACTAAAAATACAAAACATTAGCTGGGCACGGTGGCGCATGCCTGTAATCCCAGCTACTCAGGAGGCTGAGGCAGGAGAATTGCCTGAACCCAGGAGGCGGAGGTTGCGGTGAGCCGAGATCGCGCCACTGCACTCCAGCCTGGGTAACAAGAG